GCGATGGGCGCGCATACCCTCCTGTGCCCCTTGCCTGAGTGCAGGCTCGCTTGTGGGGGGCCGGTCGGTGGGGGCTGGCCGCACGGCAGGCGGATGGGAACGCCCCGAACACGCCAGGGGTAGTACATTATTGCCTGCCACGCTTCGCGTCGCCGGGCCGCCGCCGGCCGGCGCACACGCCCGGCCCGGGGCCCAGCCATCCACCCGGCCGGCCGGCCGGCCGGCCAGCAAGAGGGGCCAATACAACGGAAAGGCGATTGACTGTTGCGAGGTGGGCTTCCCCCCCCCCCCCTCGGCCCCTCTCCCTCCGCAGGGACCAGGCAGGGCCGCCGGCCGGCAGGACGCCCCATGGCAGGTGCAGGCCGGCAGGCACGTCCGCAGGCAGTAGCCGCCGAAGTCTTGTCATTCATTGGAACGTTATTCCCCGGGCACATGAGCAGCGGTTATTTTTCAAATTCCCCACCGCGCCAGCGCCTGCCCAAGCCGAGGAGCCGGGCCTGCCGCTTGGGCGTCTATGTGCGTGGCCCCCCAATGGCCCGGCCCGGCCCGGCGGCGGCGGCGATCCAAGGGACCCAAAAGCCTTCATGGGTACATATGCCCTGACGGTGGGACGCGATCCCCCCCCACCGCCCCGCCCCGCCCTCCATCTTGGCGCTTTTCTCGATCGCGGGGGGCAAGAGATGGCTTGGGGGTGCCAGAAAAGCCGGAATCTATCAGGCGCAAGATCGACCCCCTCGCCCGCTCGATCGCGCGCTGCCGCCCGGGCGAGGTCAGATTCTTGGGTGCCCCGGACGGCCGCGATCTAGCGGGCGCCTCGGCACACCAGCCCCCCTCTTTGGCCTTCCCTGCTTCCCCGGTGCCTGTGCACGTGCACACACACACACACACACACACACACATACATACATACATACCCCCTCCCGCTCGCCTCCTTCCCCTCCCGCTGCCCCTCCTCGGCCCCTTTCACTGCTCGCCGCTCGGCCCTGCGCCCTCGCCCCGTCTTCGGCCCTCGCCAGGGCAGCACCCGCCACCATGGCCCACCTGTTCGACCCGACCAGCACCATCACACAGCTGGAGCTGCACACCGTGCTGGACAAGCCCATCCGCGAAGACCTGCTGGATGGCACCCAGCCATCCGACCCGCCCAGCCTCCTGGCCGAGGCGATGTACGACCTGCAGGCCAAGCTGCAGCTTGCCACCCCGGGAACCATCGTCCCCCGGCGCGCGTGGGCCTGCCAGCCGGGGCCGAAATTCCTCCGGCGCTGGGCCGCGCACTTGGAAGCCGGCCCCGGGGCCGACCCCCCGAGCGAGGTGTCCCGCGTGTGGGTGGATCTGAGCATGGCCGACCAGGGGCGCTGCGTGTCCCCCTCCCTGGCCCTGCCTCATGGGGCCCTGCCGGTGGATGTGGCGGTCAACGCGCACAAGGTATTCAATGATTGGCTCCGGCCGCGGCTTGGCGGCGACACGTCGCAGCAACCGGGCGCCGGCGGCTCGGTGGCCCACAATGACGGTGGCCTGCAGGTGCGCTTCGGGAATCTGCGCGACTGGATCGTTCAGCCGGCCCCGGGCCCGGCCCCGGGGACCGACGCCCCGGCCATCGCCCAACCCCCCCGGCGCTTTATGTGGTGCGACGCCGCCCTGGGCCGGGCCTTCCACGAGTCGGATCTCCAACGCGCACGCAACCTCGACACCCTGCCGGCCGGGTATGGCTCCTTCGTGCGACAAGGTACATGACTGCTGGCCCGTCTCCGTCCTGCTTGGGCCGGGGG